CCCGCCTCTCAGCCTAAAAAGCCTGCCAACCACTGCTATAAAATATTTGATGACCATTGTTTTAATTTGCCTTTTCTCTCTTTGTCCAGACTCAAATTTCTTTGCATTAGTAACTCTTCATGAATTTCAGCTGCCTCTTAACTGCAAATGAAATTTTCTTCCCAAACTGTTTCCCACACTCTCCCTTACCACACCGTTTCTCAATCACTTGGCAATATAACTATCCTCCGCCTCATTCAGTCTTGGGAGTTTTGGAGTTCTTTTTTTCTTCTTCAGTCATATCCAGGCTAGTGCCAGATCTTACAGCTCCTCTCTCTAATGTTTCTGAAGTCCCCTGGCTCCTCTTTGTCATATTGCCAAAACCCGTGTTCATGCCAGGCTTCTATTTTGGCTGGATTACTGCTACCTTCTCCTTCAATTTCACTTCTATCCAGCATTCAGCAAAATTAAACGTTCTGTTGTTGCTTTGATCATCTTGAGTTCCTTTGCTGAGGACTCTTTCCTTCTACCCACATTTCACACACACCAAGTGCAGTTTCAGCTCTTGTTTTGTCTCATTTCCATTTCTCCCTGTTTTGTCTTTTCTTACTGCTTTCCAACTTGCCACCCGCTCAGCTTTTCTTGTCTTTCATTCTGCTATTGACTTCCTCATCTGTGTTGCTGGCTTTTGAAAGACGCATGCAAATGTTAATGTTTACCAAATATTACAGGAAGTAATGTACTCACATACAACATAGAATAGCATAATAGCCATAGCTTTAGGTTTTATATTCTTCACTTTAAAGGTCACTGGTTGAATCGCAGTTCCATGTAATGAACAGTCCATTTATATTTGCCAGTTTGTCTATCTCTACCTAGCAATAAGCTAAAATAGTGCAAAAAATCTGAAGATTAAAATAATTTAATACCATGTGTATTGGAAAATACTGATGCACAGAATGTATTGAAAAGGTTTTAACACTTTTGTTTAGAATTGCTTGTTTAGCTAATTGTTCAATATCTCTTTGTGTTTAAAGATCTTGAAAACTACCAGGTCCTTGGGGGAAAAAACTACATGACACTGCATCATGAGTGAGAATAAATGTGATAGTCAGTTTTACAGTGTTCAAGTCGCAGACTCAACATTCACTGTACTAAAACGTTACCAGCAATTGAAGCCCATAGGATCTGGGGCTCAGGGCATTGTTTGGTGAGTAATACACGCTTTGTTTAAACATAAACCGCTTAAAGAACTGCACCTATAACACTTAACTGTAATGCTTTTATCTCTTGCTACAGGATTGTGAACCAAATAGGTTCTCCAATACCTGTTTGTTGTCATGTCTAATATGGAATTGTGATTTTTAGGAAACCAAACTAAATTTTTAGATATTTCCATAAGTTAAATGGGCAGCAGATTTCCTTCTCATTACCATTTGGTTTTAATTTCTAGTTCATAACCACATATGGAATGTAAGAAGTTACAGTGTAAGGTTAGGATGGTGAGAGAGATTCTGGGTTTTACTTGTCCCTTCAACATGGTTCCCTGTTTTCTTCTCCCTTTTATTCCTGATCACTCCTATTCATTTCTAGGAGCCATCAGTGCAGTGCCTGGCTCCTCTCTGGCAGGATGAGGCAAATCAATGTCACTGTCACTCCATGGGTAAATTAGAAAGGGATGCTATGTGAGGGGTTGGGCTGGCTGTCTGCCTTGCTGTGTTACCTCAACTTTGTGTCCAGCCTCCAGTGGCCCAGGACATGAGAATCATTAGTCTGATATTGAACCTTAGTCTCTTGTACGACTGCACAGCTCTGGGCCAGCTAAAGGTAAAACTTTTCAAATGTTTAATAGGCGGCCACTATCTGCTCCACCCAGGTTACCTTTCAACCCCATCTTTTTTTGAGCAAAGCTTGCTTGCTACCTGGAGGCATCTCTAGGAACTCTAGCCCTGACTTTATAGCCATGGTCTTAAGGCTATAATACTTCAAATCCTACCTGCATTTTTGTGCTTTTACAATTCAAATTGAAGTGAGGAGTGTTTTTTAATATGTAATTAAACTATGTTACAGTTCTCTCCTCTGAGGAAAAAACTGTTTCTTATACTTGATCTGCCCATGTCTTTGACCTTCTTGTAACATAGTTCCTTAAAAAATGGCAGGTTCTCACATTAAATGGTATATAAAAATATTTTTAAATTTTTCCATCCCCTCATACACACGCAGAACAAATTTATTTATTATCTTGTATTTTCAATTTTTCAACTGCTGTGGATATCATTCTAGTTATTTCATGAAATAGGCCATTGCCCAGCTGTTGATAGGCTGTAAGTCAGAGAAATTAGAGGAAAAATCCCTCTTTTTCCTTGAAAATAGCATGTTAAATGTAGGGTGTATGAAGTCACTAGATATTAGTGTTTAGGAAAGCTTTGGTATATTATTATAACTCTTTCTGACAATACAGTTCCGATTTGATTCCTTTTATATTAGTACCAGATGGCATGTGGGAATTTCAGATGGCAATGATTCCCCTCCTCCTTCTAGAAATGGTGCATTTTTGATCTGCTCCACTTCCCTGCTGTTTCAAACCAGACTGATTCCTCGAGGTCAAGTCAGTGATGAGGTCAAGCTGTAGGGAGAGACAAAGAATGATCTGACTTAATGATTTGTCCTGAGTATACTTGATTTAAGGAGCAGCTGATTATAAATTAGAAGTGTACCATAACTCATCTTCTGAAACCTCGAAATAGTATCTACAAATTAAAGAAACTAAAATTACAGTGAAACAAAAATTTGCCAAAATCAGCATTTATAATTTTCAAGAGAGAACACGTCAGTCTCAAACTAGAAGATAGTAGGTCCCATAAAACAATTTTACTCTTTTTCTAATGTTTTAAACATTTTAATAATGATAACTACGATGTTAATTTTAGAAAGACCTTTCATAGCGTATCAAAATCCAGTCTAGTTGTGAAACTTATTTAGGGTTATGCTGTTGCAAAACCCATTCTTAAACTACAAGTAACATGAAGTTCGTCAGACTTTCAGAAAATGTGAAGTGGAGCACTGTGTGGTTCCCAAAATTTAATCGGAATCACTGTTAACTTTGTTTCATTTTCCCTTTTGGTTGATATTAAAACACATAAGAGTAATGTATTTGTCCTGAGGTCCATTAATGTTTGCTGATAGGAGGATCCTGATTCTTCAGTGCCTGTAATACAAAACAAAGACTAGAACAGGCTCAAAAATCTCAGTATCTTTGGAGAGCCTTTTTGCTTTTCTGCACAGCCTTAAGTAAGGAGATTGGTTACATGTTCCTGTACTTTATTTTAGGTAGCATAAAATTTCCCCACCGGGGTTCCTTTCCTTTTTACCTTTTGACTGTTAGTGTATTTGAGCTTCTGGGGTGTGTGCACGCGCGCACACACACACACGTGTATACATGTGACTGAATTACCAGATTCTTTACATCTCCTTGAATTTCTTTGAGACCCTTTTCCCTCTTCTCCCCAAATGGCTCTTTCCCTACACGTCCTGATTTTCCTCTCCTAGCCTGGACCCTGGCTTTCCCTGTCCCAACTTGTTCTGTACCCCCAAATATTCCTGTATCAAGCCCCTTCAGAGAGAGTGAGAGAGCGCGCATGATCTGGAATATCCTACTTTTATCTGTTTGGAAGATGTTGTAGTTTGTTAATGGCTGTACTTGAGCAAGCTGTTCAAAATAATTATTCTATGTTTTTCAAAACAGACACCTTAAGAATTTAAATTCAGTTCTCTAAAATTAAATTGTCTGTGGGAGCAAAGTAATTTGCTTTTGAAGAAACACTTAACTGAGAATCATCCCTAGGCATGTAATGTAATAACTTTATTGTATATAGCACCCTTCACAGACTAGTTGAGAGTAAAGAAGCAACACCGAATTAATCATGAGGTTGGAAATTCTACATTTCATAAAGACACAATTGAGAAGAGCTATGCTTGCCTAATAATAATCAGAGCGACACAGTAGTAAATTACTTTGTGTTGTTGGCTCTGCAGTTGACCTTCAGGATTTCCTGCGACTTCTTGCAAATGTTTTTTTTTTTTTTTTTAACAGGGAAGAGTCAGAGTGAAATTGTCAATGTGCAAATTAATTGTTGTGCATGAAATTTCCAAAAATTATATGAGACGAATCTGACTATTAAAGAAGTAACTTATAAATAGCTAGTGAGAAGATAGGTAAGAGCAGGCAGGAAGCTAAACCCTTGGATTTTTAAAGTGTGTGTGTGTGTGTGTTATGCAGGGGCAGAAACTGTTATTTTGAATGTTTTATGCATCAGATGGAATTCCGTAGAAGTCTATGTAAATTTTGCTCAATGCCACATTTTAAAGTTATTGCACTTCCTACAGTAACTGATTAAAAAATTTATTAGAAAAAAATTATCTTTCACCTGGTACTACAAGAGTATTCCTGATCTGGAGAACATGTTCTGATTTACTAAACAAGCAAAGGAAAATGTGGGATTGTATTGCAGTGCTGGTGCCCTAACTGCCTTTCATTTAGATTAACATTGCGAACAGCACAGATAGATGTGTAACCTTAATCTTGTGTAAGACAACTCTTGTCTGATATTGAATGATAGACATAAGCTTTTCATTAATTTGGAAGAAAATTTATTTGGAGGTGTTTGGATTAGTAGCAAAGTGATAAGGGAAATCAAATGAGTAAAATAAATCCACTTTTAATGTTTTTGTGTGTAGCAGTTTTCATTTCTTCTAAGATATACACATCACTCTTTCTTATTGACAATTCCTCTGAAATCCGGTACTTGAATTCAGGGACGCAAGAAAGGGAAAATACATTTTGCACAGTGGTCTTAGAGGTTATGTAATGAAATTTTCTTATTAGGAACACATTCCAAATTATCTGGCGTTTGAAAATGAACACTGGATTATGATAGGCATTGTGGCCTTGCAGCTTTTTTCTTTTTAATACTGAAGTTCTTGATTTTTCTCTGTATCACACTTAAGTTCAAATATTCTTTTAGATTGGTTAATTATAAAATCTTTGATCCATTTCCTTCTGCAGTCTGTATAGTTTTATTTCTCTTAGGCTGTGATGGCAGCAGGAACGACTTGATTTTCTAATATGACATCAAGGCTACTTCTCTTCAGTTTCACAGACAGGGAATGAGTTACAGGCTCGCTACTGAGTCACTTCCCTCCTTGAGAGATTTTGCTTTACATTTGCGAAATGATCTCTGACTAAAGCAGTGCCACTAGGTCAGCCTCACAGCTGGTGGCCGAATTTGAGAATTGGTAACACAGTTTCATTCCAGTGCATTTGCTGTTAAACAGTTTTGGGCATTTTGTACCAATTCAAAATACAGGTCAAAGAACTGACATGCATAGAACTTTCTACATACTATTTTATGGTTTCTTGGTCAGGTAAATATGAACAAATACCAAACATGTAAAGTTTTGTACCAGAAGTAGTAGGTTTAAACCATCTGTTGAATTGCCTTGCTCCCACTTCATATTCTATTTTGTATAGGTATTCAAGCTTTGATTCTACGAATGGCTGAAATGACCTGATAATGATGACTCTGCACAGATCAGTTCTATAAATATGTCACTTTATATAAATGCTGAGATGGGTTAAGTAGGCTGTAGTCATAGAACCAGGGCAGTCATGCTGTGTTTTTACTTTATTTCCTCTTGTAATCTCATTTTTGCTCTTCAGTAGTGTTGCTCCTCTTTATAGGGGAAGCCGTGACTTCACATAAGCAGAGCACATATTATTTTATTTCAAAGTACTGATGCAACCTCAGGGAAGATTGTACTGTACAGGAGTACAGTGCTGTTATGACATTCTTAAGCATTCTGCTGGGTGTACTCTGAGAAGGAAAGCCCGTCTCCCAACAGCTTTGAGCATATCTGTATTCTTATTTCCACCACTAAGTAAACAGTTGAAGTAGAGATTGAATGATATTACACTCTTCTGAGTGAGAGAATCGGCACTGCTGCCTGGGTTTGGAGTATATGGCTATTCTTTATGAATAACACCTGTGCATTAATACTTAGTTTCTTCATTGTTTAGTCTGATCGTGAATATAGTCAGCTGCAGCTGAGAATCAGATACTTGTGGCTCTTGGAAACAAACCTCCTCTGCAAAATGTGCTCATGAAATGGAGGCTAGGAAGGAACAGAAGTCACAAAGAAGTAGAAGTTTTTTGCTAAATATAATTGTTAGTTCGAGGCTATAATTGGAAACCTCTCTTCCCAAAATGTGTGAATTCTTCCTAAAATGTGTGAATCTTTTTATTTATTAAATCTGTAATTCAGTTGGTTCCTCCACGAGAATAATGTAATGAGAGACTTAAGAACAATGAACATAGTTGGTGACCTGTGTTATAAATGTATTTATCATGTCTTTCAAGTTTCAAAAACCACCCGTATGCTGCCAATGGCACTCTTACAGAGATCTCACTTTTTGGGGAGTGAAGCACTGAGGCACTTGAGCTCTAGACTGAAGTGGAGACTTTAGAAACTTGTAGTTAATGATTGCATTAGAAATGGACCTGCTTTGTGTATGTAGTGTCAACAGCACTATGTGAGAGACTCACTTATCTCAAATTAAGCAACCAGGAATGTTTTTGTTTCCAGAAAGGTTACCTTAACTTAGAGGCAGGTAGTTAGATGTGTTAGCCTGAAGTTAGGCAGAAGGCAGTGCAGTTTGGCACATTAGAGACTTCATAGGGACGTTTGGGGTCAGACTCGATGATCTACTGAGGTCCCTTCCAACCCAAACATTATGAATCTATGGGCTGTCATAGGGCAGCCCTACTTCATCGGATATTATGACGAGGTAGGCAGTTGCAGCTCAGAATTAGATATTTGTGATATAACATTTTGTAGACTACAGAAACTGATGATTTTCTGTAACGAGTATCAAGCTTGCTTGAGGTCCCAGGCTAGATCTGGACTGTGAGACTTCTCCTAGGTTGGATCCATAGGGTAGCAACAACAGCAGCAAATTTAGCGATGGTGGTGGCATGAGTCCAGTAGTCACAGGGCCAAACAGCTGCAGTGGGGCAAGCAGGTCTGTGTCACAGCTCTTGCTCACCCCCACCCCTCTGCCATGGGCTATATCCAGCTGAGTCCAGGACCCCTAAGCTCTGGAGCAGGTCCCATGGCCAACTTCTAGTACCCCAGCAGACTGGATACAATAGCTCCGCAGGCCATATATTTGACACTCCTGGTCTATAAGCTGCCACACTACCATATCTTCTGCTTAACTTAATTTTGACTAACACTTTAGGGTAGTAAGTGTTTGGGCTTGGACAAGGGGTGTGCGGAGCTTTTGTTTTACACTTATCCCTGTCTAAGAATGTGCAGACTCTTTTCAATTGTCTTTGTCTGAACAAAAATTAAATGAATATCTCCAGCTTTGTGGATATGCATGATTTCAGACCTTGATTTCTTTCTTTCCCAAAAGTCTTCAACTTAAATTTATTCTCTCAATTTTCAGTGCTGCATTTGATACAGTTCTTGGGATAAATGTTGCTGTTAAGAAGCTGAGTCGTCCTTTTCAGAATCAAACACATGCAAAAAGAGCTTACAGAGAGCTTGTTCTTTTAAAATGTGTCAATCACAAAAACGTAAGTCATTTTTCAGTAGGCTGTAATATTTAAGCACAATATATGTTTAAGTTTGTACACGTGGCTTTTTTTCATGTAGTGGGTTGGAGGGGCCAAGGTGGAAGGAATATTTTGCAACAATATAGTTTAAATTAGTATAATCCATCTGTATAGTCACTGGACCAGCATAAAATTGGACTTATTCCACTACATTTTATCTCAGTGAGCCACGTTGTCTTGCACTGGTTCAGGTTCAATCAGATTAGTACTCTGCCTTTTGGTCAAGCTCGTATGTAACCATGTCAAAATGTCTATTTTATTGCCTTCCCTGTTTCAGTTTGTTTAAAAAAGAGAACTGGAGCCAAGAGCAAACTGACAAGAATTGTAGGTTGCTTAGAGGCAAATATAGTGACTTGTGAAAAGTTACTACACAACTGCTAAGTTTTGTGAATGTTATGAAAAATACATCACATGTAGAAGTTAAAATGACCTAGAAACTCTTGCTGGTTAAGATTAGGCACTTAAGACTTAGATCCAAAGCCTTCTAGGGTTGATGAGAGTTTTAAAATTGACTTGAGTAATTTTTCTTGAAGTAGTAATTAAAGGATTACAATAATGTTAAGGAAAGTTTCCAGAAACCTAGCAGTAGACAGAGATGCATCCGCCCAATCTGTGTGCTGTTTAGAAGCCTTTGTTCTAAAGATTAAAAAAAATGCTTATAATTTACACAGACTTTTGAGTGACACACACAAGGAGGTTGCTTTTTTCAGAAAAAAAAGATTTTTGGTTTGCCTGTGGAAAGAGAAATGCATCTATGCTTTCTAGTGCCTTATTTTAAATGTACAAGTTCAAATGTTGTTCTTCAGCACTGCTGCTGTGTTGTGCTAATATATGTGAACTGAGAAGTCAAGCACATTAATAACAACTTCAAGAGTGAAACTAGCTTCTGAGTGACAAGTAATTGACAGTGTAAGCAGTGTCTGAATTCTAAAATGGATGCATTTGACTTCATATTGAAGTGATGTTGTGGCTTGCTTCTTACGTTTTTACTTAGCATTTAATTTATGTAAATATTAATAAATTATTTTTTTTAACTTTTTGTCTGTCTTTTATAGATAATTAGTTTATTAAATGTATTTACACCACAGAAGTCACTAGAAGAATTTCAAGATGTGTAAGTATCAAGGGATTAAAATACTATGAAGCGTGGCATGAATTAGTCATAGATTGCATTTTAACCCTTTGCACCCCTAGAAAGTTCATGGTATTGGGGACATAATCTGGCTCATAATAAGACTGCACTAAAAGGGTGCATTCCGGGGAAGCGCACGCTGCACGTGCAGGTGTTCCCTACAGGAGGGGGTGGGGGGAGATCCCAGTGTCAGAAAACCCTGCACCTTAAAAAAGCAGGGTGGTGCATGTGGTGGCAGCATACGCCACCCAGAATCAGAAGCTGGCCAGCCAGAGCCATGCTGCGGCTTCCAAGTAGGCTTCATGCTGCTGGATTGCTATGGCTGCAGCCTCTGAGGGCCCCCAGGTAAGACTGCTGGGGCTAGCCCAGGTGCTAGCTCCAGCCTCCCCTACCCCACCCAGGGTAATGTGACATGCACCAGAACGCACATGCACCAGTGTTTCTCAGGAACAAGCAGCCTGCAGCACATAGTACCACTGCTGTTTGTCGCTGGGGAAACGCACGTTCCCTCTCGTGGGGCCGTGCCCAGATTGTCTGTGATTCCTGTAATTACTCCTTGTCTCTTAGCCAGTAACTCAGTATGGATAACCTGATGTCCTTTTCTGAGCTGAAGCCCCCAATAACTTCAGCATCAAATACAGCCTGAATATATTTCTTAACTTAGATCTTTTATGTGGCAGTAAGACTTATTAATCTAAGTATTCATGGGGTTGCAATCTCTTGCTGATTTTAAAAAAAAGGATAGCACTTTAACCTGGAAATGAATTATTACTTCATATTATATAACATGGTTTCCAGAGTTTTGTTATGTTAAGTTAGGATACAGTAAAAAGAAATCTCAACTTGATACACTTCACTGTATTCTCTCCTTGTGTGCAATTTCTGTGTAAATTTAATTTGATCTTAGGTTCCATCAAGACAAGCAACATAAACTAGCAGTCTCTTCATGTGTTGTGTTTGGCAGAATTCATGGTTATATCAGAGTTGTATTTTTCTTCCTTTTTTATAGTTCTTAAACAGATTACTAAAAATTATTTTAAATTATTTTCAAACTTTAAATAATGTATACCATTCGATATTTTTTCCTTTATCAACATTCTGACACTCATTGTATCAGTGACTTGCATGATCTCTTATTTAAATCTGTTCTGATGCTAGGTTTAAAATCCCTGATGTGAAAAATGTTTTTTGATCCCCTACATTATAGGTATTTGGTTATGGAGCTGATGGATGCTAACTTGTGTCAAGTTATTCATATGGAATTGGACCATGAAAGAATGTCCTACCTTCTGTACCAGATGCTGTGTGGTATCAAGCACCTCCATTCAGCTGGTATCATCCACAGAGTAGGTAGTGTTGTGACACTGATATTAATAATCTCTGTCTTAAAGGTAGTATTTATCTGAAATGTGTTCACTATTATTTTGCAAGTTGGTGTTCAGTTTCTGTATATATTAGTTGAAGGATAAACAGTCATGTTACAAACAAAGCCTCCAAAAAAGCAAACTAGCTCTGCAGATGATAAAATAGTTTTAAAACTGTTAAATGAAACTACTGACACCAAACTACGAAAAAGACTAAAGATTGTATTAATATGAGAGAGAAAAACTGAGCTTAAAAGTATGAAAGGTAAACTCTGTAATGACAGAATAAGGAATAGCTTGTTTTAAAAATTCTTTTAAAATTATACACTACAGTAATATTACTATTAAAAGTAAAATCTATAAATGGTCCCTATGATATTGAAACCCTTCACAGGCTCTCTGTGCTTCTGTTTCTGTTGCCCCTGTTGTCCTGTTGATGTGCCTAGTTTACATGACCAGTACTGCTCCCTTTGAGTTCCAGTTTTTCCCACTCTTGCATTTTAATTTCTTCCATATGACCAGGGTGTCTGAAACCTCTTCCATGTCCTAATCCAACATGCTTTTTCTCATCCTTCAAGTGCTTAAAACACAAGAAAGCTTATCAACTCTAAAACTGTCACCTCCATAACTTGCTGCAAAGATCTGGGATGAAAATGTGACAGTAAGGTAGACTATGTAATTGTACTACATCCAAACATTCCAGCTGCCTCCAAGCTTTCTTGCAGCTGTGGGGTACTCTTATTTTCTGAAGGTCTGTTAGACTCAGTGAGCTGTGACAAGGTACTGGTGATGACCCTTTAGTTATTGTTCCTTGCAGGGGGGAGGCTGTCTTGTTTCAAAACATCTGATTTATTCAGGATAATATATTTCCTTTGTCATAAAGGTTGCTGTCTACTATGGTCTTACAATAAATATTTGAGGTTACTTTCTTTCACAAGAAGGTATCTATCTGTAGTATTATCAGTACTGGTGTGTAAACAGTCATCACTGAAACAAATAAAAGGTCTAATTCTCTGATTTCTGACAGCAAACAAATTTGCCACACTTGTTTTTTGTTTTCTGTGTCATAAAGACTTTGTAACCTCAGTAATATTGTGTTTAAATTATTTGTTGGCTGTAATCTGTAAATAATTTAGCTATAAAAGGTTGCAGGCATGGCAAAGTGTATATTTTAATATAAGCCGTTAATGTGAAATGCTGTGATGATGACTCATATAGATTTAAGGGAAAGATGCATGCTATCTTTTAGTTTATTGGACATTACAGCTAACCAAAATAACTTTTGTTTAGGATTTGAAACCCAGCAATATAGTAGTCAAATCTGACTGTACGCTGAAAATCCTTGATTTTGGATTGGCAAGAACAGCATGTACTAATTTTATGATGACACCGTATGTAGTAACACGGTATTACAGAGCGCCGGAGGTTATCCTTGGCATGGGATATAAAGAGAATGGTAAGTTACAGGACTGAAATATTAAATGCTTTACCTAGAGTGAAGCTTTCTCAGACTAATTTCTTTAGACTGTAATTCATCTTTGATCTGTAATGTTCAGTATGTATAGTACTGTCATGGAAATAATGAAATATACAGAGTTAGTCTCTGGAAGAATAGCATTTGTCTTGTTCTTTGTGACTGTGCCTCACCATTTTGTCTCCTTTTTTTATTGCTCCCCTTTCTATTCTTACTTATGCTCATTCATGGTCCTGTCTCCTTCATTCCTATTACCATTGTTCCACCTGCAAAAAATGCATTGTTTACAAAACAATCATACTTAAACATTTAAAAAAAATGAACAGAACCAATATGTGAAATGATTAACCCACATCAGTGTGAACTTACTTTTATAAAGTGTTTTCTCCTCTGTATGTATCCTCTTCTCTTTGTAGTGTCATTTTTCATAAAGTCTTTTAAATTTCTATAGCCTAGGCAACATTTTATAACATCCTAGGTCTTTCTCTGGGTATTTTGATTATTAATACTATTATTAATTTTAATAAATGCGTCTAAGATATTTTAAACATTCAAGCAACAAAGCAGTTGTCAAGGAAAATATCCTTTAATTGCATTTTCCCTTCACAACTGACTGGCAGGCAGTAAGACTCATCCTGCTTGGGACCTTCAGCCCAGTGCATCTTTTCACTTTTCCAGCTTTAGAGTAGATTTAACATTCTATGGCTACAGGCTGAGGTTTGGGGAGGGCAAATCTTGAAGATGTACATCTTTGGGAATGTAACGCAAGAGATCCATAGAATTTCTTGAGTCAGCAGTATTGAAGGGTTCTGCATCACGCATAATGCCTTGGTAGTGTAGTATGTGTTGTTGTGGCTCAAAAACATTTAATATACCTATAGTGGAGTCTGTCCTAAATGGGACAGGAAAGTGTAGAGTAAGTAGTACACTAATCTAAAAGACTAAATGTGCAGTGTAAATTTTACAAATTAAAAATCTATCTGTGGTTTTTTTTAAAAAAAAATCTTTAATCTTTTGTCCTTGCTGCACCTAACATGATAGTGGATATCTGGTCTGTTGGGTGCATTATGGCAGAAATGGTCCTCCATAAGGTCCTGTTCCCAGGAAGAGATTGTATCCTTCTTCACAGTGGTTTTACGGATTGTAAAATCCAATAAGTATTTTGAAGTACTTTAAAAGTACTAATTAGAAGTGTGAGAAAAAGCAGGGTTGGTGTTCATACTGTTGATTACAATCATGTCTTGTTAGCAGTTTGGTTGTCCACATTCTTGTGTTTTATTGTAGATGCTAGAATTTTTTTTGTTAAGTTTTCCACTTTTGTTCATGACACTTCATAATTTGATCATTTCATTTTTACTTTCAGTTGATATCTGGTCAGTTGGGTGCATCATGGGAGAATTGGTGAAAGGTTGTGTGATATTCCAAGGCACTGATCGTATCCTTCCCTAGTCATATTTGAACCCCATTACACATCCACCAAAGACACACAGTTATTTCCATCTGTTTATACATACAAGTGCGTAACACTAGAAAACAAAATATTTTCTTACATGTTTTTCAATGCATCTACTGTAATGTATGAAATTAGTGTCACTAACCGAATCACTGAACTTCCATTTTTTTTCTCCTATTTACTTGACCGCCTTTTAACTTAATCCTTACTGCTTGATCACTTGCTTATCAATATAAGAACTTCATATTTTGTAGCTGTAAAGGATATTGGTGGGTTAAAAAGCAAATTTCCTTGGCAGGGTTCCTAATAGTTAAATTATTAGAGCTGAAAGCTTAAAAAATATTGTTAACAATTTTTTGTTTTGCTTTTTCGCATTTTTCTGTTCGCATAATGAAAATAAGTTTATTCTCAATTGTTTCAGTTAAGTTTTTTTTCTGGTTCTTGTGTACCAGCATGTTGCAGTGCTACAGTGTTTCTGCTTAGTCACTGCAGGAGGTAATATATATCTTTTAAAAGAAAAGGCCTTTCATTTTTAAATTTTATGGAAAAAATTTCTGTCTCTCTCTTTTTTTTTTAAAAAGGTGTTCTTTAAAATTTGGCTTTTTTGCTTCAAAATTTACCATTTTAACATGAAATTGGAATTCTAGAGGATTGAGTTAACTAGCATATATCTTTGTATAATTCATTAAAAATAACAATGAATTTTCTGGTTAAGTAGATGAAGCTTATTTCACATAGATACATTGTGCATATATTTTAGTAAAGTAACTTATCTATTTCAAAACATTTAAAAAATAAAGATTAAAAACTGTGTACCTGTTTCCAAGTTTATATTATAAGAATTGAACAGGAGACTACATTCTCTCCATTTTAATTGTTCTCACAATGTAATAGTAAAAAATGAAAGAGCTTGTGGACTGTAAATTTGAAATCATTAAATAATTTGTCTTTTGTGGGGTTTTTTATTTTTATAGGTTAGATTTTATAAAAGTATACCCTCTATTACATCTGTAGGCAATACCAGAATTTTAATCTGAATGCTAAATTTCATGACACTAATCTTCAGCAGTTGACCATGTTAATTTAACATCACAAAATATTAATATGAAATTAGTTCTTTGTTTTTCACTTCTTCTTCCTTTGTATATTTATTGTTTTATCTTCCAAAGCCTTCAGACCAACCTAACACAATTCTTCATGTATGTTCTGTGTCTTTTCACTTGCATGCTTCAGTGGCTGTGCTGATTGCTGTCTTGATTTATTCATTAATAAATCAAGGGATTTTTTTTTCATACTTGCTAAATAGGTATTAGGTAAATCATTTTTACCTAAGAGGGAATAAAGCTCCACCAATCTAGATTTGAAACACTATATGCTATCTAGCTGTATTATAGTGGGAGATGGCAGCTGTGGCCTAAGAAGCAGACACACAATGCACAGCCTATGTTGGTGTAACTTGAGTCCAGTATAAAATTACAGTGTGAAAAATTAGGTGAAACTGCACTGGCTTAAGTTACATTGGTGTAAGTGTTGTGTGCTCAGCTATTCTGTGATAACCTGTTTCTGTCTAGCAAATGACTATTACCTGCTTCCTCCCCACCTAACAATGAGATCTTGTATTAGTACCAACGGTGAGCATGTATCTCCAGATAACTGTTTATGCACATTCTTCAGATCTGGGGGTAATTTACACTGATGTATAAAACCACTATTTGTAGGCATTTGTGCACATGCTTGTCCTGCAGCGCCAGGCGCTTCTCATGCAGTTTTAAGTGGCAAAATGCATGTCAGCACGCAGAAAATGGCAGCGGCGTGCTTTTAAACTAAAACACATGGAAGGTGTTAGTCCAGAAACGTACCACTGCCACTTTCTGTGCCCCGATGTGCATTTTGCTGCTTATACAACTGCACGCGATGCAGCGAAGTGTGCGTCAGCTCACATGCAGAGTAGACTTGATTAATCAAGTTTGCTCCGACACGCTGGAGATAGTGTCAGAGCATGAAAATGTATGTATAATGCCCAGTGTGTCTCCAGCTGTGTATGTATGTATATTATAAATGCCCAGTGTGTCTCCAGGTCTTAAGATTTCCATGATTGGGCTCTGTTTTTCGTTGTCTAATGCTAGCCATTTCCACTAGAATTTTCAGTGTCTAGCATCTGCTTCAGGCAGATTTTTTTCCTTTTGTTTGTTCATTTGTTCTATGTAAAATGTTTTTTTTTTAGTTTCTGAGAACGGGGTAGAAGGAACAGCAGGTGAATTTTGTCTTTGTTAAACTCTTACAGCTGCTCTGTTGAGAACCTCTTTACTTCAGAGCAGGGACTTGGACAATTGGCAGAGGGAGTCAACCTAATGGCACAAGTGGGCCTTTGACTCTTCAGAGTCCAACCATTTCTGCATTGTTTCAAGCCTTAGAACATAGTTTCACACCTGTTCAGATAGAAATTATTAGATTTAATAGATTTTAGGGTCGGATGGGACCTATTAGATCATCGAGTCCAACCCCTGCCCTGAGCAGGAAATTCCTGAGAAGCTCAGCAGTATTTTCTAAAGGTTCTGCTTTTATCCCCTCACAGCGATTTGCTGGCCAGACTCGGTGTGCTCTTTCCCAGGGTTGTAGGGGCTAAGCAAGGTTTTCCCATTACTTGCTTTTCCCAGCTGCTAACGGTTCCTGTGGTGCCAGCCCCAGAACTGAGAGTAGGAAGACTTGCTGCTGTGATGTCCATTATCCCACTGCTCAGTTAGCAAAGGGCATTGGGAAGCAGCCTACCTCAGATGTAGAAAGCAGTGGTGAGAAATAGAGGAGGGGATGAGGATCAGAAGCCTACGTGTCTTACAGGAAGTCATCGTAACTCGGTGCAAATATAACGGGGGCTCAGGTGTACTTCTGTAAGTTGTTTTTTTTTAACGCTTCCGAAAACTGAAGCGAGAGACAATCTGCTAGACAGTATCCAACACACATTTTATTAATTTCAGGCTCCCTCCCAGTCTGGGTTTCAGATGTTACAAGGCATAGCTTTATTAAACCCAAGTTTTTAGACGCCCCAACCCTATACCATAGAATATTTTCTTACTTTAAGCATTGGTGGGGTACTTCTAGAGAAATCTAGTTCAGGTACTCTGATCTTCTACTGCTCTTTATTAAATTAGGGTGGGTCACTACATTTTCCCTCTAATGTTTGACTAAAGATAGGGGAGTGAAGTTGCTGAGAGCAGGGCCTGGGTGTAAAGTTTTGTTCAGCTGTTTTTTCCAAACTAGTAATGGTCACAAGGAGAAATAACTTTGAATCTAGAATCGTGCAGAGTCTTCTCAAATTCAGTTTTCGAAGTAGGAAAGAAAAATGCCTTCTGTGTATTCAGCAGTTTTCTTTTTATCCGTTTCTGTAGCATGAGTCTGATTTTTCCAAATTTTTGTTTGCTGTGTTTTGATGTCATTTTTTTTATTTGGATGCATTTGAACAAAGAAATATAAAGTGTAATCTACTAGAATGATCTCTGTATTAGTGTGTAAATTTTGAGTACATGTTCATGCATGTCACAGATTATAAAATTCTTACAGCTTTTGCAGACTAAATGTTTAAACACTTCTATTAACAATTCTAAATTAAATATCTGTGCAAAGTCCTGCCACTTGTTTATTGAGCTGTATTCTCCAGCCATTGATATGACAAAAAACAAGTAAATGAAAAATCCAAAATAAAAGTGGACACTTGCAAAGTTGGTGATTTAGAAAGATGTAGTGCTGCAATGTAATCATAAATTCTTCTAGTCTAGAAAATGAATAGGTATTTTGACAGAGTGTTTCTTTTCCCTTATTATATTTTACATACTTCAAGTACTGTGATACAGAATGTACTTGCTGTCAAAACAGCTTTAGCTACATGTGTCTCTCTTTTCTTGGGACGGACTGAAGTTTCAAGAACTGCTTCTGTTATTTTTGTTGATAGAAATAATAGAAGAATAATCTAGTTACAGTGCTTCTTTTCAGATGTTTCTAAACCTTATTACATAGTGTGTAATAAGACTCTTGATGGATCCACTTTACCCAATCCATACATGCTTTGCTTGTGCAGAGAAGACCAGATGCTTAAATTCTTTTCATTTTTTTTCTTTTTCTGCAATTTAAATATGTAGAGGCATCATGGGAATTCCTAGCTTAATCCAGTATCATACTAATTTTCCTGCTTACTCCGTAGGCATCCTGATTATACAGCAACCGATAGAAATGAACATGCTTAAACAAAGTGCTTTTAAAGTCGGACAAATTAGCATTGACAGAAGATATTCACAGCTGTCATTTAAGCTGCGAAGCAGGGAAAATTGTTTAAGGTACCTCAGCTAGCACAAGTATTGTTCAGTACAGACTAACCCTTAGATCAGGAGTTTTCAACCTTTTTTAAGGAGTGTACCCCTTCTGTTGGGTGCCTCGCTCCAGACTGGGGGCAGGAGGGAGGTGGGGTGCTGATGGCCAGCCAGATGTGAAGCTGGCGGTGTAGGGAAGCAGTGACGGTGCAGAGTGATGAATGGCAGGGGACAGGGAGCTCACACGCGGCCACTGCTGCCATTTACCCCTCTGCACCGCCGCCATGTGCCGCTTCCCTGCGCAGCTGAGTGTACCCCCTGGGGCCATCCCAAGTACCCCCAGGGGTACACATACCTGCAGTTGACAACCCCTGCCTTAGATAGATAGTGTGGGGGGACAGTTGAGAAGCTGCATCAGACATTATGTCCAATTTGTAATTAGTAAGCATAATTCTAGTGACCTAACGTTTGAACTCTTAATAATTATAATAAAAGAATATAGTCCATGTTCTTTGCTATTATTTTAATAGCTCTATTTAAAAAATACACACTTTAAACCTGATGTTCTGTAGAAAATACAGATCAGCCATTTTGGAAACTATTATGACATGTTTGAGTTGGGTCTTCCTTACGTTTTCTTAGGGAAGCCATGGGTGTTTTTACACATGCTCCTGGGATGGGCAGGGGCACTTTAATTGGAGTGACTCTGAGAGCTGCTCTAACTAAAGCGCCTGGAGTGTCTTGTGTATCGGCATCCCTGCACTTCCAAATGGCGCTTCCAAATGGTGGTGGAGGCTCATAGAATGAGCTTTAGTTCAAGTGCCCCCACCACCCATTTTGAAGCACAGGCATGGTGATACACGAGATATAGAGGTTGGCTGAAGTGTGGTTATTACCACACTCTGACCGACTTGACTAACCAGGTATGCTGTGACGTGCTGTAATTACAGTGCGTCAGAGCAGCATCCCAGCTCTTGTGCTATAGGCACCCTATTTTCTGATGAGAATTCATTGAGAAGCATTTAAGCAGAAAAGAAGTGGCATAAAATTCTTACCTCCTGTAGTTGAGTTGCATATTCCTACCTGTTGTTAAGCATCCATGTGGGGTATTCTGTAGTATACGTGCAGAAGATTAAATCCCGGTCCTTTCTTTCTCTCATACTAGTTTCCATTCAACAAAGTCCTACTTTTAGAGATGTTTATCTCTAGTTAGACGAACTCCTGTTGGATCCTGCATGAGTCTAATACCCCTTTTAAAATTGGCTAACAGCAATTACAGAGCAGTAGAGAGTAATACTTCGCACCTTGTGCAGCAATTCTGGTCCTTCCTAATACTAGGGTCAGAAGTCTAATTTTAGAACGGTGGTGCCGAGAGAACAAAAGCGCTAATCCACATTTGGCTCTTACATTTCAATTTTTCATTACTTTCATTTAATGTACACAAATATGTTGTTGCCTGTTTTTGTGGTCTATTATGTGGTACAGATTTGAAATATTTCAGAGAATTTTCCTAAAGATACCCTGCAGATATTGATCAGTGGAATAAAGTTATTGAACAGCTAGGAACACCGTCAGCAGAATTCATGAAGAAACTACAGCCTACTGTAAGGAATTATGTAGAAAACAGGCCGAAATATCCAGGTATCAAATTTGAAGAGCTCTTCCCAGATTGGATATTTCCATCAGAATCTGACCGTGACAAGTTAAAAAGTAAGTTGTTTTTTTTTTTTTATCTTTCTAAATTGGTTCACTTGAAGTATATACCATTTAGCCATGCAATATAAATGTGATAATGCAGTGTTTTGATACTGTCACCTTAATGTTGTATTATGAAGCAGGAAATTAAAAGTAGCATCTTTGTGCTACAAGTGCAGGACATGACACTGCAAAGTATCTTACTGCCACTATTAAAATATATCTTATTAAATGCATACATTCTTTTCTGTTCCCCGAATTCCAGTTTATTCTCAAAATTTTAGCCTGAGATACTGTTGATGGTTTAAATGTTCACAGAAAAAACACTTGTTTGTAAAAGACATTTTATAATGAAAACCTTCTCTAGTTGATACTGATATGTGTAGGCTGATTAAACTAGATCTAAATTACTGTTAATACATTTGTGTCTTGCATCGGCAACTTGGTGACTTGAAATTTGTGCATATATTTTCAGAGTCCATGTTGTTAAACATTTGGAATTGTTAGGAACTTGAAATTTGGTTTAATGACATAAAACCATATTGACACATATGCTACAACTATCCATGGTCAACTTCACTTCAGTGAACAGTCTCTTTAAATGTAAGACCCCAGTTTGCAAATGGTATCTAATTCAACATGAATGATACCTTCTTCAAAATGAGTTGAAACTTATTTTAGTATCATATCAGCTGTGGCCCAGTGCCACGGTAAAACATCATATAGAAGTCCTTTCCCAGATTAGAGTTTGGGCATGTGGTTTGGATGGCTTGGAAAATTTTATTAAATATAAAACATAATGCTTTTAATCATAAGAAATAAGTGACAAGATAGGAAATGTTTTGCTCTCGGGGTTTCTCTTAACAGAGTTAATGCTTTTGTTTGGACAGCAAAATGCATCGTTTTACCATCTACTTCATTCTGATGTGTGCTAATCACACAAGTTACAAGAGACCTGTTTAACCTGGATGCATGGTGAGACTGATTCTTAGACCTTAGCATTTTAGCCTCTGAAGCTTTTATTTGCTTTCTCCCTCTTCTTTTCCAGCAAGTCAAGCTAGAGATTTATTATCCAAAATGCTGGTGGTAGACCCCGACAAACGAATTTCTGTAGATGAAGCCTTGCGTCATCCATATATCACAGTTTGGTATGACCCAGCTGAAGCAGAAGCAGTAAGTATCCACATTTAGACTTCACTTAAAATATCACTTCAGCAATTGAGGCTGTAATTTGTGTCTTGAGTTACGTCGGTAGCAGGCTCTGAATTTTCCATTTTCCAACCTAGCAAAGATTACACATGTAATTGTAAGAGAAATGGCAGCGCCAATTGCACCACCACTGGTAAATAGCAATGAAGTGGCATTGCTCTTGGTTTGAATACATCCACTGTTGTTAATTTAACTGCAGAGATATAGCTGGTAGGGCCTAGCGAAGCTTCAGTCCCTGATTTGATTTGGTGGAGATTCGGCCTTATTTGGTGCCTGAATCTCCGAATCTGAATCAAATCAGGAGACCCTTTACTCTCTCTGAATCGAATTGGAGCCCTCCGAATTGATTCAGACATAGACACAGCTTTAAACGTTTTTTCTACATACCTCAAGGTACCAGGTGGCTTGTGAATGCTGTGATGATGAGGCCAATGGAACATCCCACAGAAGTGTGGGGGGGTTCCCAGCACAATTGGCAGCAGACTTGGAAATGGACCAGAAGCACTTCTGGGTCCAACAGGGAGCATGGGGGGCCCCCCCCCCCCCCTTGGCCCCCCTTGCTCAGTGACTGGTGCCTCCTGAGTTTGGGGGGGTACCCGGGGTTCCCCCACGGCTGATTGCTGAGCTGGAGGGGGCCCCCCAGTACACTCCCAGGTGGACCTGGAAGTGGACTGGAAGTAAGTCCAGTCTACTTCTAGGTTCACTGCCGAGCATGTGGGGGACACCGCCCCACGTAGGATGTGCCCCAGCATCTCGGTGTTCACAAGCCGTGCCTGGTACCCCAAGGTATGTAGAGAAAACATTTAAAGCTGTGTTTATGGCCGAATTGCTGATTCTCTGAATCGGAATCAGATCTTTAGGTTTGGATTTGACCGAATCGTATCTGGGACAGTGGTCTAAATCAACAAATTGAATCACTGCCTCTGATTCGGGCCAAATCTGAATCGAATATGGCCTGTTTCACACACCCCTAATAGCTGTCAATGCAGCAGTAACTTAGGCAGGATTGTATAAGTTACCTGCTTTTGGTTAAACCCGTTGAAGCTTCTTGCGAGCCTCTAGGCCTTAGGTTTCAATAGATAAGCCTTAACATTTCGGCAGATCATTCCAGTAACCTGTCTTAAGCTTTAAAATTATGAGAGCATGTAATTACAAAGCACCTATGCAAAGCAGGTATGATAGAAATATTGGTAAGGGAGACTGCCTGAGATGAGGGATTAAAAATAACATTTCCCTTGGATTATTTTTGGACACAGCAGTTAATGACACCACTAACTTCCAGTGTCACAGTTCTGTTTCAGACTTTATTTTCTTTGTAGCCTCCTCCTCAGATCTATGATGCACAATTAGAAGAAAGAGAACATGCCATTGAAGAATGGAAAGGTAACGGTCAAACATGACCTCATTCTAGCTATGGTAATAATTTGTCAACCTTTAGCACTAAAGTAACAAAACTGCTCCACTAGTCAGCTGACAGGAACCCATCAATGAATTAGGCTGGTTGTAGCAATACAAAAATTAATTCCCAAGAATTAATAAATCTAGTTTTTTAAAATTAATTCTAGATTGTTTTTAATACTTAGAAAAATGTTTTTTTACATAAGGCAACTTCTATTCTATTAATAGAAATGAATTAATTTGAACAAAAAGTTAAAAAAAAAAAATGTGATGCTGGTATCAGTTGTACCTTACTTATTCTTAACTGTCCCTACCTACTAAATGAGATTCTGTAAATTCAGTCCCATGCACCAGTAGAGGCTGGGGACTGACTAGTTAAGCATCAGCTGTGCAGAAAAGGACCTGGGGGTGACAGTGGACAATAAACTGAATATGAGCCCACAATGTGCCCTTGTGAAGAAGGCTAATGGCATCCTGGGCTGCATTGGTAGGAGTGGTGCCAGCGGATCAAGGGCAGTGATTCTTCCCCCTCTATTCAGCACTGGTGAGGCCATATCTGGAGTTCTCTGTCCAGTTTTGGGCCCCCCGCTACAGAAAGGATGTGGACAAATTGGAGAGTCCAGCAGAGGGCAATGAAAATGGCTTGGGGGCTGGGACACACGACTTGTTGAGGAGAGGCTGAGGGAACTGGACTTATTTAGTTTAGAGACGAGAAGACTGAGGGGGATTGAATAGCAGACTTCAACTCCCGGCAGGGTGGTCCAAAGAGGATGGAGCTGGACTGTTCTCAGTGGTGGCAGATGACAGAACAAGGAGCAGTGGGCTCAAGCTGCAGCAAGGGAGGTTTAGGTTAGATGCTAGTAAGAATTTTCTCACTAGGAAGGTGGTAAAGCACTGAAACAAGTGACCCACAGAAGTTGTAGAATCTCTATCTTGGCAAGTTTTTAAGACCCAGCTAAACAAAGCCTTGGTAGGGATGATAAAGTTGGACAAGATAACCTGCTGGGGTCCCTTCCGACCTTAACTTTTCTATGATTTCTATGATTCTAAATGATGGACACAAAAGCCATAAATAAAGCACAATTAAGCACTAGTTGGGTATCAGTTGTGCCTTAGTTCTGGGATGTCTGAAACTGCTTTTTTGTAACTGTCCCTCTTTACCATTTTTCTTAAGAATTAATATACAAAGAAGTAATGGATTGGGAAGAAAGAAGCAAGAATGGTGTGGTAAAAGATCAGCCCTCAGGTTAGTCATTGGTTTAATAGTTTACCTTTATCTGAAAGTCTGATACATGTGTCAACTCTGCTCAGACTCAAACATCCAATTATAGCAAAACTGTCATTTTTTTTAAGGCTCTTGGTCCTAATCAGTCTCACAGTCACACGAGGAGTCAGTTTACTTTGCTATGAAATGCGCTACCGGGAGTATGTTCTCTGCCTTCTGCAGGAAGTAAAAAGATGAATTTGAGTTTAAAGGCAGATGAGTCTTATATGATGAGTCAATGCCACAGAGCTGCAAAGTGTATAAGGCTTCTCTGAACATAGATTGAACTGTCAGATGAGATAAATGGATACTTGTTATACTTGGGTCATTGTCCTGAAGTAGTCCTGCATGAAGTTTTTTTCCACATGGATTTTGACTTCTGTTGAACTTGTTCTCAAAATACTTGGGAAACTCTCTGTCCCTATGAGTCTTTGATCTATGCTATGGTTCTCTTGGTCTAGTCTTGAAAATATTGTACTGTCAGTTATGGAATATATCCACTAGCTCTTTGGCATTCAGGTTGTTATTATTTAGGTAAAGCAAGCTTACATTTATTATTCCTTCAGAAGGAGAAATGGGAATTTCTAACACTCGTCTCTAGTTTAAGCCTTGTATATACATACTGATTTGAAAAAGAAAACACCATGTTCTCAATGTCAAATAGTCTTCTGGGATTGTTAGATTTGCCTTTTAGCAAGTCAGTCTTGTGAGGTTTGATTTTAACCCTGATGATCCAAGTTGTGATGCATTGTAGATGTGGAACTGTAATTTGTAAGTAAAACTTCAAATTTTACAAAATAATAATTCTGGTAAATAAAAGACAAGCGCAACCTATTATATGCAGTTGACATTATCTCCAATAATATTTTTTGTAAAAAATTATGCTATAATTATTCCTGTAACATTCATCTTTTGTAACTGTAGCAGGGCACTAAGGTGCCTGCCACTGGTGAATCAATAAGTAGGGAGCCCAGCTGCTGGTTGTCAGGGTAACCAGTGGAAGTCAGCTGACCGGAAGGGGCAGGGCCTGGCTCTTATATAACTCCCAAGCTGAGGTGAGGCAGGCAGTTCCCTGCTGGCAGCCCAGGAGGAAGGAACTCTGCTGGAGTGAATATCGAGTAGAGGCCAAACTGCAGGTACGGCCCGAGACTGGGGACAGATAGAACATCTCTGATGTGGCGAGAGAAAGGTTGGAGCCAGATGGCTTAGAGTTATGTTATAGCCAAGGGGCTTCTGTTTTGTTTACTGTTTGACCGGAGGACTGGGTGAAGCTAGAAGGGGACGGAGTAGGCCTCATAGGGGATCCACGATAGCATGGGCAGCGAGAAGCCCCAGAGCAAAGGGGGCGCCGAGAGTGACGAGGGCCGCTGGGAGCCCAACCGCCACAGGGTACTGAGAGTGACGAGGGCTGCGGCTAAGACTGAACAACGTCCGGTAGATCTGTGAGGCTTGAGATGTGGTACAAGGGTGATTGGAGCCATGCGTAGCCCATAAGACTGGGGTGCTCGGACCCCCGTTATATAAACAAGGCTCGGGGTAGCAGGAACCTTGACCAGGAGGACAAGAGGTAAGCTCCCTTTAATTTTTACAAGATCAAGACGTGGCAGGCGAGAATGAGAGTGCCTTAACCCAAACTTGGCATGGTATGGGGCGCTAGGGGAGAGCACGGCAACCCTAAGACATTCCCCCTCCTCCCCCCTGCCTGGTGCAGTAACTATACAAAAGTATTTTTGCATTTGTTTCCTAAGCATCTGCTGCAGCTGCTGATTCTGGCTTCTCCTAAAGTGGCAGTCATATTTCAGTAAATACATTAGCATATCTGTACTTCTCAAGTATAGTTGCCTTTCATGATTTTTGTAATGGAAAGATATCTAGTTTGGGCAGTGATGTTTCAAGCTTCTCATCTTCAAATATGACTCGTTTATTTTTTAAACAATTGGTTAGTTTCAGTGTCTTTGTTGAAAAATAGTTTCATTTCATCTTTCATTCTGGTTTGGAAAGATGTTTGTTCATCTTACTTTCTTTACTTCAGTTGGATAGATTATATTTTAAAGTTATGTTGGAATTCACAAGCTAAATATTATTGTTTTCATGAGAGACTTGAAAGTCTTTCTTCTTAGAGAATTGCACTTGCTTTTTATGGTAAATATATGCATGGAAATGTTTCAAGTTACCTTCTGTAAAGATGCACCTTTTGGGGTCTTTGGCTAAGTACAGACATTCAGGAGGCTAAATTGGGTTTCAAATGGATGCCCGATATAAGGTAAGTCAGGGTGGGGGGAGCTAGCTGGGGGGTTGGGGATCCAGCAGGATGGAGGGGATTAGGGGTCCACCAGTGGATGGGAGGTAAACGCGACCTGCTGGTGGGGTAGGCGGACACATGTGACCCATGAGGGGTAGGGGGAGCAGTATCTATATTTATGAAATGTATATTCCATCCCCTCCATCCTGTTGGACCCCCAACCCCCCCAGCTGGCCCTCTCCATCCTGAGAGACCTGATATTGGGCAGCCATTTTAAATCGATTTAACCTCCCCCTAACGCCCCTGAATGTCTGTACTTAGCCTTTATGTTCAAAGAGTTACAGGGGTGTGAAACACCTTATCCCCAGACTGCTAGCTGAAAAGAAACTGTTGGGCCAGTTGGAAAAAAATCCACGGCGCTGCCACTGCTTTCAGTTGTGAGCAAAGGAAATGATTGTATGTTGTGAAAAGTAACTTTTTAGGTTCTGCAAGATTTCGTTCTGGAGAAATTTGCAAACTGCTCTGCAGAGATCTAGCAGCCTGCAGCCGACAGCACAGTAACTCAGGATATCCTGTTATAGTGTTTAGGTGTAGCCACTTCTCAGTTTTACCATGTACTTGATCTAAAGCAGGACTTAACAATGTGATACTTTTTTTCCGTGACATTTTATAATTGTTCTGATTGTGCCCTGTAGCTATGTACCTGTCTGTTGGCAAAACTGTGGGGTAGACCAAACATATAATAGAGTAATGCGATGTAGAAGGAACATTATCAGTTCAGATACTGCCAAAATTATAAACAGGCTCCTTCACAGTATAGAAATGTTGTTTGCTATCAGTAAGAGAAAAAAGAAAGCTATTTGTTAGTCTCTCGGGCTGCTTATTTATTCAGTACATTTTGGAGATGCAACCACCTAAGAAACTTTTCTCAGCCCATATATCTTAACACAGCATGCAGAGTGGTATTTGTGCAGTTTCATGTTGGATAAAGTAAGATTAAAAAAATCCTTCAAGCTAAAATCTTAAGTCACAATCCTCTTGTTGAGCAGAACGCTGTAGCTGTCATTACAGTGTAGTTACTTCATTTGGGAAACACCATTCAAGTGCCCCTGAACTCTCCAAACCTTGATCCAAGTTGCAGATTTGACATGGGATGTCCTGAACAGCAAACAAAAACCCAAAAAGTGGTTAGAAAACCAAAAGGTTACTTTAGAGAGAAACCTCTAGTATTAACTTTTTATTACAATATGGTTATGCTGTGAGTTGGGTGGAAAGCCAACAAGAATAGTAGTTCTCCCAGAAATCATTACTGGTTGATTACCTGTTTGTTTTGAAAATTCCTTTGCTCCATATATAATATATAATAACCCTGTGTAAATTGGTGCATTTTTTTTAAACTTCTTTTTATTCCAACTAACACAAAACTTTAACTTCTTCAGTGTGCTGAAAATTAATTTAACCAGGTTGGCTACTGGAAGCAATTAAACCAGATTGGCTCAATCCTTCATTTAGACTGATTCATTCCCTTGACATACCCACATGCTATTCTGGAACTTGAGATTTCCTTCTGGGTTTTTAGCACCTGATATGTTTTTCTGAAGGAAAGTGCTCTGAGACTCTCAACCAAATCAACACCCCCCCCCTTCCTAATTTTTAGATTTTGGAGCTTTTTTGTTGTTTAACTTAATTTTCAGCTGAATCCAAGCTGCTTCAACATAACATTTTAAAACTTTCAACCCTGGTCCCAAGGAGCTTTATGCATTAAGGACCCTGAAGTGCACTGCTTGCTGATGAGCATGGATTCTGGTTTTGTCTGATTTAAACCTCCCACCCCCAATTTTCAGTTAAAGTAATCCCAAATCCACATTTTTTCCATGATTAAAATGAAACACCGCTACATTTACATATTAGTGGTGTTGCATTTAAATCACAGAAAAATGTGGGTTTGGGGTTACTTTTTTTTTTAACTGAAAACTGGGTTTTTTTTTTAAATCGGAGAAAACCAGGATTCCTGCTGATGTGGTACACGTAATGGGGATCAGGGCACTGGGTGCATAACCGACTGGAGGTGTTAAAAAGGGCAAGTGGACAGAGAGTAGGGGACAGAAAGAGATTGTGGAAGCTGGAAAGTCTTGACAGCATGAGATGAGAAAATGCCAGCGTTTTGTTTTACAGCCTGATGGGAAAAGGACCATTGTTTTTGGTTGACTCCCTGTACTGAGGTGGACTTTGAAAAAAGGACTTGGAAAGAAGTGTGGCTGTGGCCCATGTGAGACCAGCTGGCAGGGGGCATCACCAGCTCACAGTCCAAGATTGCTGTCTCTGTTTTGCCTTCTTCATCTGTTGCATTTTTTGCTAAATTTCACTATATGACCCCATTCTCTTTAAGAGAATTAAACAAAATAAATCCGTCAGTATAGTGAGTCAGTACTTCACTGGACTCAGTAGTCCCTTTTGAGGATTACCATGTTAATCTCTTGAAGTCTGGCTAAAATGGAGAGGGCAATTCCAACTGTGAAGTGGGTTCTCTTTTCTCCTGTAGAACCTACTTCAGTCTCCATCCAGGTTGTTTCCTATATGATTTCTAATCCTAATCAGGCAATTATTGCCAGTGCCATTGTTGGCTGTGTCCCTCCTGTGTCTCTGAACCCTGATGCCCTCCCATGTCTTTCGTGTGTGCTAGACCATCTGGACTGAGCTGCATGCCATTGCTTGGACAGTTGTGGAATAGAAGCTGAGCATTACATTTTGAATAATTCATTCTCTTTAAAGTGCCAAGTCCTAGTGACCTAGGCAGCAGTACTCCACACTAACGCAGCTGCCATGTTCTTTTACATGTGTCCGTGAAAATGAATGATCCACGCCGTTCTGAGAGGTGTTTAATACCTATTGCATGCTTTGACTATTTGGACTGGCAGTAAATTTTCCAATGAAATTGATTTGAAGTGTTACTGTTAACAGGTGGAGATCTTCTCATCTTGTCACTGGGATAAAGTGACAGAAATTATTCAAAACTACAAAAATGACCAAATGAAATGTCAGAAGGGCATGGAAGAATGCCTCCTACTGTTTAGACACTACCTCTGCTTATTAGAAATGTTTCGGTACTACCGATGCATGCTTGTTTACTCCTTTTTAGTTCTGTTAAAAATGTTTACTTGTTGGTATTTTCTTGTTAAAGGTACACATTAGAAATAGTCCATTTGGAGAGAAATTGCACATAATTCGCATGTGTTTTGCACGGAGTAGACTCTTTTAAAATTCTAATCAATTTTGACAATCCTGTAACTAATACAACAGTAAGGTACTGCATGCTGTGGGAAAAGTGATGCTAAGAATCCTAAAGTATCATTGCTTATATTTGCAATATTGTCTTGCCTCAGATTTTATTATGCTTGGTTTACTTAGCACAGATGCAGCAGTGAATAGCAACACCAGTCCTTCCCAGTCATCATCTATCAATGACATTTCATCCATGTCAACAGAGCAAACGTTGGCTTCAGATACAGACAGCAGCCTCGATGCCTTGACAGGACCCATTGAAGGATGTCGATGATCAGCCAGGATTGCAGACTTATGATTGGAAAAGAACTCTTGCTTCCATTGGGCCTGAATTGCTTGTAAGTTAATGGAACCAAGTAGAGAAACTCCATGTTCTGCATGTTCCACTAAAGTCATGCCTGTGTTTTTACTCAGCTGTTATAAGGCTGCCTGCTTAATGTTGTAGAATGAAAAGAAATTGATGTCTAAAGAAGAAAAAAATTACAAGTTAAACACTACAGTAGGCTTTTTTGTTTCAGCCTATTTCAGGTGAGCAGTTACAGTAGATTCATACCAGATAAACTCCTCCTAAATGAGTTCATGAATCTTCTGTCCCATTCAGTAGACTTCTGTAACACATAAATTGTTCATTAGTAGGTCTTTTGAATGCGTATGCTCTGTATAATTTGCTTAAATGTGTGACTACAGAAATTTGTTCTATTTAACTACCAGTATGTTATATGTATGAGGGTTATCTTACCTATTGAACATTTGAAGTACTGTATTCAAAGGCAAATTTTCTTCCATTGTAGCACTTTTATTTTTACTATTGAGCCCTTTCCCTCCTTTCTGTCCTCATCTCCCAATACTTCTATGCATCTTCTTCTAGAAGAGACAAAATAGTGAACTTTATAGAAACCCCCCCCATCATTTTTGTATTTTACATGTGAATATGACTCTGATTTTTTTGAATGTCTTTCAATTATTTAAATTTTAGTTAGAAATAATATGAGTTAACTTGATCTTGAGGAGGGAGTTGTTTTTTTTCTTGAATGACTACTCCCTGGTATTCCTGTGAAGCAATGTCTCTTTTTAAAGGAAAAGGTACTAATTTTTTTTTGTTTTGTTTTCTGGTTAATACATTATTTTGGTTCTTTCTTTTAATTGGTAAAAACTTTTGGAAATGATATATTTGTTACTTTTCCTTTTAAAGAATAGAGGGACACTGTGATACTTTTCACTTAATTCCTCCCTTTGTCTCAGAACGAACTCTGATAAAAGGACAGAGACAGTGGAGAAATTTGAAGTTTGTGACCTCAAGAATTACATGAATTTTTTCCCACTTTTTATGGGACCATTCTATAGTGTATATATTTTTAAAATATGGTAGTCCTTTTGACTGATTTGATGGGGTTTGTTATGTTTATTTCCATAAGCTTAATCTCTATTTCAAAATTAAACATAATTCTGGATCTTCAGTTAAAATGAAATATTTATGCTGAAGCTTTTTTTTTTGACATGGCATCATGGGAAAGGGAGGAGTTTTAATACAGGCGTATCCAGGCCATTTTCAGATTAAGATAACACACACATTGCCTTCTGCGTTGCACTATCTTGACTTATTAGAAAATATATGCAGTAGAGTAGTGGCTTAAGTTATAAAATATTATACAATTGTGCATTTGCAAACACAGAAATGCATATTTGCTTTAGAGTGCACAAGTGTAAAAAATGCTTAGCTAACAGTTCTTTTTGTGTGCATGTATGTGAAGTTAAACTTTCTAATAGTAAGAAAAATGTCCAATATGAGGCAAAGCATATCATTTTCATAAATATAGATACTGAAGATTTGATTATATAAAAAGAATGTGTACAATTTGTTCACTGAACTAACAAAATATACTGCGACTGAACTGAATTGTCCAGTACATAGTTGGGAAGAGAGAGAGAAATATATATCATTTGCAGACTTATCTGAAAAGCAGATTTTTTTTTCCCAATGTTTCAATGTTTTTACACTGGAAAGTTTTCAAGTAATTGAATTTACAATAGAATATACACTGGAAAGTTTTCAAGTAATTGAATTTACAATAGTAAAATGTTAGAGGTCTAGATTATGATCTATCAGAATAGAAAAACTGGGTAGAAAGGCCTCTATGAGTTTAGATCAGGCATCTTGGGTATTGTTTTTTTCTTAAGTATAAGCGCTGGGTTTAATTTTAGTATTGTATTTTTTTTTTTATATTGAAAAATATGGACAAATTTTGTATGCAAGACCAGACCCCCAATATAAACAGAAGCCTATCTAGTATTTTTTGTCACTGGAGCAGACCTTTGGTAAAAATGCTTTTTTTTTTCTTCCCTCCCTCCACTGCACAATTTGGTATTTTCTCTATCCTTGGTATTTGGATGAGCTAACACTCAGCAGTGTCTAGCATATAGAATGTGCTCTAGTAACATCAGATTATCTTACTTTCTTTCATCCTGTTCATATATTGCTAAAAAGTACATTTAAATTGAAAGATGCCTCTCACTGTTTTGACAACAAGTGTTATCTCATTCCAGAGATACATACGCTTGACTGACTTCACATAGGTTCAGTTGTTTGGACCAAGATTTTAAAAAGTGTGACTGGTTGTTTTTTGGTGTGAAGCATGAAACATTTCTAAAGGGCCTGATTTTTTTTTTTTTTTTTCTATTCCTGAGGGTAGGTCCTCAGCGCTGTCTGAAAATCTTGTCCTTTTTGAGATGTCTCAAGTTGGATACCCAAAACCATTAATTGCTTTTGAAAATGTTGTCTTTAGTATTTGCAAATGATTACTTCCTTATTGCGTCTGAGACTTAAGGGCCTAAAATCTCTAAAGCAGCGTACTGAATCTGCTGCAGCAACCAGTGCATGGCAAATGTACTCTAGTAAGGTATCTTGGTAAGAAGAAAATTATTTGTTAATAATTTCTTTGTCTTGTTTTAGGCCTGTTTGTACAATTTCTCACTGAACATTTTATAATCTGTGGTTTGCTTGTGGGAGTGGCCTACTGGATATGTCCATTTCAAGATGATACCAAAATTGGCTTGGTTTTCCAGTCTGTTATGTAAGACCTGCTTGGGCTGCCTCTGGTGTAACTTGTCATTCTAGAGCAGCTTGGCCTGTAACAGGTGCTCAGTTCCTGGCCTGCAGGCCAGATTCAGCATCCGGTGCTGTGTCATCCAGCCTGCAGGACTTGCAATGGATCCATGAGGAGACCCATGGACTGGACTGTGGCCCTGTATGCTAGATTGGGCACATAGCGCAGCATGGGATCTAATCTTAATGCCACAGGCTGAATCCCAGCAAGCAGGAGCAGTGCAGGTCCCAGGGCCTGATTCTGCCCATGGGAGCAGTCTGGGGCCTTGGGGCCTGATCCCAGCACATGAAGTATGACATGGCCCGTGGATTGGCTGTATGCATACTACTCATGGGGCCAAAAGTTTGAGTGCCCTTGGCCTATAAGGTTTGGTCTGTTCTGTATACCTTGAAGGAACCCCCGTTTGGAGTGGGGGTTCATACTGGATTCAACTCATAGTTGTTGTTATAATTTAAAAAAAAAAATCCATCATTTGAGTCAGTAATGGAGCTTTTTCACTTAGCCTAGTTTTGAAAATGTACTCTTAGTCTAAAATTCTGCTTTTGAGTCTGTCTGCCATTTCCCGTAATCCTCATTATAGTAAAGGATGGATCATATTTAACACTAATTTTCATTGTTCTTTGCTTATGGTATAATTAGAAACTTTAGTTGTGACTGGGGACAGTAACTTTCTTGATGAGATGCATAAGTTTTAACGTCTGCATATTGTAAATTGGAGTCAAGTATGGAAGGAAACAGTTGTTTGTAAACTGAACCATAGCTTAAGAAAAGCCTATGTCAGATATGCACTTGCAGTAACAAAAGTGCATATAGGACAGCACGTCTAGCCCTATGTGCATCTGCACACATACATAGAGAATGTACATGTAGAACATATGTACTCTGCAAGCAGATTTTACACGTGTGTTGTCCTGACTCTGCTAATTAAACTCAGTATCTAGTTTTGAATCTGATTTCACTGACGTACAAGAACCTGATCATCACTGATGGAAACCAATAGTCATGTGTAATTTTGTAAAAGGTTTAAAAGGTTAGAAAGGTTGTCCATAATCTTTGCAGTATGATAATGTTTCTTTCTCATATAAATCAGGTATATATGAGTGATACAGTCAACCATTTTTGTGCACTTTGGCATTTATGAATATTAATATTTTTAAAAATACCTGTGAGTGTGCATGTGTGTATGTAAAAACTACCCAATTGATTCTGTAAACAGGAATGTTGCTTTTCTGTATGACAAACTTTTGATATAATGTTAATAATACTGTAGTTCTCACACATTCAGAATCATGGAATATTGACTTAAATGTAATTGGTGGTCAATAAACTGTGACAATTTAGGTGTCTAACTGCTCACCTGAAAAAAGAAGAGGGATATTTGGCTAATAATATTCATATTATTTACTATAAACATCATTTTAAATATGTAAACACTGAGTAGCTGAATGGCATTGCAGAAATGGAGTATGTTTAAAAAGTTGTCATTTCATCTTTGCTCATATCATTGTTCCTCAAAAGTGACTAAACAGAAGGCAACTGTTTTGAGAGCTGAATGGACAGTGTGTAGAATGCACTTTGAGGAAATACTCTGATATGAAAGGTTTTGTTGTTTTTTTTTTTTTTATAAACTATGTCAAAATAAGGCTTTGTCTGCACAGATCACACAAAATAGACCAGTCTAACTACTGGAAACCGAAATTTGCAAGCAGCCTTTGAAGTTTGTTGCATCTTGCTTCTGGTAAGGATTTAAATTGCTTTATCAAGCAATACAAAATGAATTCAAATTCAACTAGAATCATTGACTAGTTTGTTGCCAAGATGCAAAAACCTGTTAGGGACCAGAATATTCGTTTGTTTTGTTATTTTTTTTTTTAATCCTTACAGAATGTCTGTTTATTCAAAATTATGTAACAGAGTATGATCCCTCCTTCAATTTCTGTTCCAAAGGAAAGACTTCAGATGACCTTCTGCTAAAGATTAAACCCATTTCCTTTTTGGATCTGGGTTCATAGAATTTTTAGCATGAGCTTATTTTAGGAATAGGATGGGGTTTAGAAGTTCAAATTAAATGTCTCCAAGAATAGAGTTGAGGGGCTCATCTCAATGTGATAGAAATGCACTGCTCTGATTTGGCATGCATTATAAACTCCGGGAAAAATTCCTCAGGTGTTCAAGTGCAGACAAATCTTTACTGAACATAATGCCATGTTGGAATATAGGTTCAGTCTTGCAGCAATACAGTTAGTGTGAGGTGTTTCATTTTGGTTGTGAAACTTAGATGGAAATACTTTAAGTGAAGAAACACTGAGCAGCCTTTGTCTGTAAATTCTACACGTATGTAATATGGATTCTATCAGGGCTTGATGCTAAACATAGTGATACTATGTACTTGGAGCCAAATTCTTTCCTGACATGCATACGCTGTGGCTTTCATTTGAAGCTAATGCATTGTGCACACCTGTATCCAAGTGCAAAATTTGGACTTCAGTTAAGTTCTCATAGCTGAATTCCTGATTTTAGAAATTTCATTTTCTCCCACCATGAACATCCACCAGTTCATTTTAACATTGAGGTAGGGCAGAAATAAACATATTCAGGTTCATTATCTTAAATGTGTATTATTTTAGATTGTCCATCACATGATTAGTAGAGCTGTTTTAAGTAAACTTGAATAACACAGAACTGTTAACTCACTTTGCACGTTAAAAACATCAGGAGCTAAGCAATGTTAGCATTTTTAAGCAAGCCATCTTTTCTCGTAATATTTGCGTTTGAGAAAAGTGGAAGTGCAACAACCACCCATTTCATGTGTGTTCTAAAAAACAATCACATTTATTTTTGTAGCTAAAATTCTGGTTGTGGATTTTGACCCACAGATTTGCTGTGTGGACGTAGAAATATATCTGGGTCTAGTATTTCAATTGGTATATGTATTAAAAAAAAGATTAGGTATAAAGTTAAAACAATAAAATGCACTCTTTGGAGCTTTGTTACCAAAAATATGGTAAATTATTTTGGTCCTAAAAGCAGAATATAGAAAATGCATTTAATATTTAAGTTTTTACTCTTTTATGCTGCTGCTTAATTTTTGATAAGGTGCTTGCAATTTTGCACAATAAAATAATAAATCCTTTTAATTGCTGTTTTGAAGCACTTTAGGATTCTTCTAAACACCACCATGATGTTCTGTTTTTACATTGTTTTACATAATAAAGTTGTTTAACGTGTTTTAAATCTTAATGTTTGTGACCCTACAATTAAGATTGAATCAGCATGTCACACTTTAAATATAAAAATATTTTCAGAGATTTAAATTTTTGGATGTTTTATGGGCTCAAACTTAATATGCTTTCAGATGACAGTTGGGAAGCATCATTCCCCTAAATATATCTAAAATAGTTAGATTAGCAGTGTGTTTGCTTATATAGATTGTAGAGTTGCTT